AGTAAGACTTGAAACTATAAAACTCCTAGAAGAAAACAAATACAGGAAAGTACTCCTTGACATTCATTAGTCTTGTTGATGATATTTCAGATATGAAACCAAAAGCACAGTCAGCAAAAGCTAAAATAAACAAGTTTTCTAGAACAAGCTAAACAGTTTCTGTATGATGAAGGAAATAGCACAATTGAAAGTGGAACACACTATATATTACAAAAGGGCTTAATATCCAAAATATGAAAGGAACTCAATTCAGTCAATAACCTGACTTAAAAAAAAGGACAAAGGGCCTGAATAAAAATACCAACCAAATATGAAAAGGTTATCCACATCACTAATTATCAGGAAAATGCAAGTCAAAAGCATAACAAAATTTCATTTCATAGCTATATGTATGACTTTAATCAAAAAGTAAAGGAATGTCAACTCAGGTTTTTTGCAACTTTTTAATTATGTTTTTTGCTCTTGTTTTTGAGTTGAGTTTCTTATATATTTAAATTTAAAATATTATCCACCTATCGGATATAGAGTTTGCAAATATTTCTCCCATATTATAGGTTGTCTTTTTTGCTTTGTTGATTGTTTCCTTTTTTTGTGCAAAAGCTTTTTTTGATACACTTTCAGTGTGTGAGGCTTCTATTTTCTTCAGCGGTGAATACCGACTACCACTACTTTGTACTGTCTAGGTTACTATAGGAAATTTTCCTACAATTCTGTCTGTATCACTCATATTTAGAAGACCATTTTTTTGAACCTTAGAACTTTATATTTCTCAATATCACATTCCCTCATGTAATAAATTTTCTGCCGACTGCTCAGTGCTGTGTAGAAGAAACTCTATTCAGTTCCTATCCTTGCATGACAGCTCAAATCTGCTATCTATTTTTGCCTTATCTAAGTATCTCAACAGGCCTTGTATAGGAGGTGTTCTCTGTATTTAATGGTGTCACAGTATGTGTATTAAAGTGGCATTATGCATAACTCATAACCATTCTAACAAATCACCCGGTAATAAAGGAATGAACTTTTCTGAAATTATTGGTCAGAAGATGCTATATACTAAAATAAAAGTTTATAATAAAATATTTAAAACAAAAAATAATATAGCATTTAAAATGTCTTACAATCCAAGAAAAATAATAATGAAAGCATTAAAGGTTGACCAGAACATGGTTTATAATAGAAAAAAATAATGACTAGGAATAAAATCCCCAATGCCCAGTAATAATTCATTGATTAAATAATGGGTAAAATAGAAAGTAGACTCTTGTAAGTCTGTGAGAAAATGTTGTAATGTTCATAAAATATCATAGTATTAGACATCAGAGAGAGAAGTGAATGTGTAGGGTTCATGAATAGGGAAAGGAGGTCATGAGGAAAGCATTTAAGAAAAAACAGTCTGAAAAAAATCAATGCTTGTGGACAAAAAAGGAGAAAGAGTGAAATGTGAATGCTATCTGCAAAATTGTTGCTGAGTAGAAAAAAAAAAAAAAACACTAAAATCTAAAGCTGCTTTTAGAAGGAAAAGGAAAAGGTTTGTGCAAGCAAGACAGAGGTGGTGAGCTCGAAGCTCCAGGATGTCATCCTGAATGATTGGTGAGGTCCCCCCCAAACAAGAGTGGCAGCATCTAGGTGCTCTCTGGAGGAAGGACACCATCTCTGTCACAATATTAACTGTACGTGTGTGTACCTTCTTCCCTTAATCAATGTAAAGTTAAAATTATAATCTTTAACTCTTTTATAAATTACATATTTCATATCCCACAAGGGGACTCTTCAATGGAGATTTGTTTTCAGTATGAGCAAATACAAGCAACTATTGATGACACATGAAAAATGTCACTCTGGAAGATGTATGTTTAAAGCCTAAAAGAAACTCTTGAGCTTTAAATACATGTAACTTATTACAGTTTTTCCTTTATGTTTCCAGATGAGCTGTCATATCCAGGTATGATATTTCATATTTATTTCATTTGATTTTATTTTTTCAAAAGTGTACATCTTAAAGAGAAAAATCTACATACTATGGGGATTTTCTAGATTATTCTTCCTGCTTCATCTTTCCACTAGTCACATCTTTTATTTTATATCTTTAGATCTCTATTGCAAAATAAATCTTTAAAAATGGGAAAAGCATGACATATAGGTTTATTTGAGGATCTACGTATATAATTTGAAAATAGAACAAATGATTTAACTGTCCTCCTGATTTGAGTAATGCAATTGTGTTTGCCAAAGTATGTAGGTATCAGAATCTGGGAGAAGAGAGATGAGAAAGAATGAAAAAATATTTTCATTTTTATTTTTAAAAAACAATTGAGACTAAAAAATGGATAATAATACTGTTTAAAGGAATCCTGAGTTCCTCACTAAACTCTTAAACAGGTAATGGTATTCACATTTACCTTCACTACACAATTTTTTTCCCCCTACAACTCTCCATTGTGTTGTCAGCATCTAACTTTGGTTTTGTAAAAGGGGCAGCTGTTATGAGTGGGGAATGCCCCTCCCACATCACTGGTTTATGCTGAATATGGGGAGCTCCAATCTGTTCTGGTTTTTCATGCTTCTGGTCCCAGATATAACATTATTGATTACTGTGTTTTCTTTATCAACTCAATTATTTGTGGGAGTAGAACCCCCACAACAGATGGCATTTAGATGGGGAACTTTGGTTCATGGCCATGTCAGAGCTCTGGATAATTTGGGGTTGAGTCTGTGGTGAAGGAAAAGAAAAGACAAAAAGACAAAGGAAGAGCCAAAAAATAGAGAATAAAAAATAAAAGAGAAAATTCCACTAATTGTCAAGCATCTGGGTATAAGGTAAGGTGCTACTCTTTGGAGGGTAGGCGTCCTTGGAAGCCAGGGTAAGATGGTTGTTAGATTTACTGATGGTGAGGATAAACCATCCACTGGTCATCAGCTGAGTTTGGTCACCCTTTTAGTATTTAAAAATAATCCCCCAAATTCCTCCCATATGTCATGTCCTGATGAAATCCCAGTACCTTAAAAAGTTCCTAAGATTCCTGTGGATTCCCATGAACTTCATATTCTCAGGATCATCTTTTAGGTTCTTCTTTCACTGAATTCATTTAATATATTGACCCAGAGATAGAAACAATATCCTTGATTTACAACCACCCACAACACATCAAGCAAACAAAATATCACTCACATAGGTTGGTGAATAGAGCCAACTTGTTGGGAATAAGGAGAAAGGCAGGGGGCAAAATTATAATTTCAAGCAAGTTAAAGTTGAACATCCAACATTTCTGTTTACTTAAGCAATTTCTACTTCCCTTTCTGCAAAGTGCCCTGATATACCTTAGCTCACTCAACACTACACTGCCATGTATCTCATATTTAAAATAATGAGAGTTTGAGGTCTCTTTGCTAGGAAAACTACAGATAACTAATTCTCTCAAAGTCTCAGCTCCAAATCAAGAAATTTTGGATGGTATTTTTCCAATTGAACTCTTACTAAGGGGAAATTTGATGACAACTATTTTATTTTCCAATTTTTAGTGTTGTGATATGGTTTTTGACAGTGAAGAATCAATCTGCCTGATATATTCTCCTGGTCCCATCTTGGATAAGGAAATAAATTTCCATTTTCTAATATGTAACATGGAGATAACAACAAAATATATTTTATAAGATGGTTTCAAGGCTTAAAGATATTAATTCTGCTCTATTAACTCTCAGTGGTGCCTGGCTCATTGTGAATGGTCAGAAAGTTACCTGCTACTAAATCTTGTGAGAGTGTGGATTTTGCTAGATATTACAGAATACAAGTTCCTATAGGAAAGAATACTATATTAAATATCAGGAGTATTTGAGGGATACACAAACATATATCAGCATTATAGGACTTTTAAATTCCTATGAGCTGAATTAAGCCATCTACATCTGAATTAGCTATCTCTGATGTAAATGTAGTTATATATACTTTTGTCAAACTAATGATAAAACAATTGCCCAAATAAGCATATGATGGTTATTTCGGGAAAATAGGCATACCAATGAAAAGGGATTAATTTCCAATTTCCTCCAAATCTAAACCTCTCTTTAGAGATATATTCAATATTCACATATAGAAATATACTTATATGAGAATATAAATATATATATATACACGTGAGAGTGTGTATATATATATATATATATATATATATATATATATACAAAAAAACAAATGGGAAGTTAATTAACTTCATAACTATTTTGATATTTTAGCACCTTGATAACTCATCAAACATTTGGGCTTCAAATAAATGATCCTGGTATGATACTGAAAAAGGTTTTTTGATCAGTGTTTTATGATAATCTCTAATAAAAGTTTCCATGTCTAGGTGTTCCCTCTAAATCTTCCTTGAATGGGTCCTGAGGGGAACATCGGGTTGGTTCTGGTAAGCCCCCCTGGCTGAACACTATTTGCTGGCATTGTTCTCATGGGCCTTTAGGCAATCTCTTATTTACAGTCTGATAAATTATATGATTCTCTTCATTCCATTTTTCAAAGGGTAACTTTTATTATTCTGGGAATTCATTTCTTTTAGGCAAACTGTAGTTTTACATGGTTATGGTACACTAAGATTCTTTGTGGAATAATAAAATGCTAACATCAATGAATATCACAAGTCTTTTATTCTCCTTTTTTCTATATTGTTTTGTTCAGACTTCATCCTGAAAGCACTTCAACCTCACATTCTGTTCATATTTCTATAAAAATGACTTATCAGAAGTTAATTCATTACAAATTCTTTCTATGCACCTTATTTAAAAAGTGCATTTTTCATGCTCAATATTCCAATCTAAATTTGATTGCTAATCCTTTCATATTTTTGTACTCAATTTTTTTCTTATTGTGAAAAAAATCTTCTTTAAGAAGTTTCAAGGAAATTTTTAGAAGGGAGATTATATTGTGTTGCTATTATGCATAAGCTACCTCAAGACTCAGTGGCTAAAAAAAGAAAAAAAATGCTTGTTTATTACTCTTGGAATGTCTGCAGATTGGCTGGGCCAAGATAAGTGCTTTATTCAGGGTTTTGTGGCTGGGAGCTTTTTCTCATTGCTGCAATTCTGTGGGTTGTTTTGAAGTCGTTCTCTTCCACATGCCCATCATTCCTTATATGTGGAGCTGTAGGACTTACTTTAATAATTGTGATGAACATCTGATGTGAATATGTAAGGAACAAATGACAATCAGAAACTGAACAGTCTCTTTGACTCATGCTCAGAGTGTGACACTGTCACTTCTGCTTTCATTCTGTGGTTAAAGAAAATCACAGGGTAGAGACCAAAGTTAAGGGATGGGCACATATTCTCTGGCAATAGTAAATCCATGGACAGGATATAGGTAGAAGGGTGTGGAAAGAGTTGAGGTCAGTGATACAATCCACCAAAGAATCTATGAGAAAGAAAAGAAAAACTTTGTTTTATAATTATATAAATCAAACAATGTTGTATAAGTTATCATTTTTTTTATAACTGAAGACTTTTACCATTCACTTTTACTTCCTCCAAATGTTCTTGAGCATGCAAATCACGCATAAAACTTTGGTATTCATCTTTCTTTTGGCTTCAGGGTACTCCTTCCAGGATTCATAGGTTTATATTAAATGTGGGAGGACTAGATAGGGTCAGATGTTTGGATAATGTTATTCTAGATCCATGTATTATACCTGAGCCTGCACATTTTCTTTTCTGGTGGGAAAATAGGAAGATATCAGAGTCTGTGGTTTTATTTTGAGGGTTAGAAAACAAAGCATATGATGATTATTTGGGGAAAATAGGCATACAGCTTCAGAATTGATAATCAAGGGGAAAAGTTGTCAGAGGAGGCACAATGTGTTGCCTAATAATTTGTTAAAAACAGAAAAATTCCTGAAATTTTTTAATTCAATTTTATATTGTAACTCTACTAAGAGAGGTTTTTAGAAGTCATTAAAGGACAGATTAAAATAGAAGAGATTAAAAAATCATAAGGTTCTTTTTTAATATTGTTTAATTCATCTCATATTGTTTACTGGGAATCTAATCCACATATTCTGGCTATCATAACACATCCAAAAGTATCGTGAACTCATATAGTTACATACTATAGGAAGATAACAAATGTAAACAAAAGTAAGTATAAATTGCACTGAAGAAAAATGTAACTGGTAAAGTGAATGAGAAGATATACTATACTATTTCAGGTAATCAGATAAAAATGCAACTCTGAAAACTACAAGTTTTGCATATAGTTAAGAAAAAAGGGGAGTTGAAAGCCACAAATATATTTCATGGAAGGGTTATCTTGTTAGAAGACAAAACAGGTGAAAACGCTTTAAGCTGGGAATATGGGACTTTCAATGGCACGGAGAGAAGTTGGAATGAAGAAATCTGAAGAAGAGACTGTACAAGATAAATTTAGGGTTACATTGAGGAGCTAGATCATAATGCAGTCTTGCAGGCCAAAGAAAGCCTCTGCAGGTGTGAAGCTGCAATGTGGCCTTTATGGTTTTGAAGTATTGCTCTATTTAAAATCCTCTTTAAGTACAGCAATACTTTGATCAAATTACCTGGAAAAAAAGACTATGGAGTAGAAACCTGGAGACAAGTTAGGAAATGCTTGCAGTAGTCTCACAGATGACTTGGTAGCAGTGCAGATAGAAGTGTGATCAGGGTCAGGATAGTTTGGAGGAGTATTCCACAGAATTTGCTAATGAATTCAGTAACAGCCTTGAGGAGAGTAATCAGGGATGACTCAAGGCTTTTGGTCTTATGGATTGTAAGAATGGGGTTATCTCTTAACAAGATGGGGAAGATTGCTGGAGCTGAAACTTTACAGAGAAATTGAAGACATTTTTGATGAGCATGTTAAGTTCAAGATTTCTTGCAGATATCTAAGTCTGTATAGGCTATTCAAAGGCAATAGACTATAGTTTGTGTTAAAGGGCCTCCTTTAATTAATGAAATAATTGTAAATCAGTGCATAATGGATTGATCTTATTCAACATAATTCAAGTTATAAAAATTTAAATTACATGGGCAAGGCATGGTGGCACATGCCTGTAAACCCAGCAGCTCCAGAGACTAAGACAGGAGGATCACAAGTTCAAAGCCAGCTTCAGCAAAAAGCTAGGAACTAAACAACTCAGTGTAGATCCTTTCTTTAAATAAAATACAAAAAGTAGGGCTGGGGATGTGGCTCAGTTTTTGAGTGCCCCAGAGTTCAATCCCTGCTACCCTGCCCCGCCCCCCCAAAAAAAGGAAAAGAGAATTTCCCATTAAAAAAAATTAAATGACACCAAACTAATATTAATTAAATATAAACAACTTGTATACTTATAAATTTGGGTAGGTAATAGTAATATTTTTATCAGATAACTTCAGTAAATTGAATATTTATCATAAAATATGTTTTTTAAAACAAAATGTCACCTCTTATGTCCATTTTCTTTTTCTAAAATTGTTAGGCCAGGCCTTCCTAATTTTAATCCAGTAGTTCTTAAAACACCTGGATTGCTAGATTTATAGTGAACAATTTAAGTCCATCTTAGCTGTTTTGGGGCAGTGTCTATTAAATATTAAAAAAAAAAGTCACTAACGAGACTATTGATCTTTAAAATATAAATACTAAAATATGATTCATCATTTTTTGTTTTCTTTTGCATTAAAATGAGAACACTTTAATATATAGACCTCAGTATTTCTTGCTTAAAAGAACCCATTGCCCACTTACAGGAGCACAATGTCTGCTTCAAAGTTCTATTTATTTATTTATGTCTTCTCCTCATGAATAATGAAACTGGAGCCTCTGAGAGTGTTGGACACTGCCTCTGGGCTGCCACTCATAGGAACATCTCACTGTCTTGACCCTGTGACTACAGCCTCTGCTTTTGGGGGCATTCTTCAGTGCTTAGCTGATTCTGATGCCAAGTACAGCTCTGCAATGAACTGAGACTTCCTCAATTCCCCTTCTCAGCCTCCATTGCAGATAAAAGGCTTTGCATTTTGTCTGCTCAGAAGAACTCTAAAGCAGTGTTGGTTTTTTTTTTTTTTTTTTTAAAGAGTGGTTCCTTTTCTTCTGAGCTTCACTTAGCTCTTTTTTTCTGCAAGATACTGTGAGGAGGCTGAGATGAGTTGAAATAACTGGGCCACAATTTTGCTCAGAAGCACTCTGCTCTCAGACCCTCAAGCTCTGCTACTGGGTCTAGCTTGTTTTTTTTTTTTAAAAAAAAAAAAAAGAAAGAAAGGAAAAAAAATATCCTTGGAAAAGCCTCCTTCCCTTCTTACAATTTCTCTTCCTTGAGTCATTTACCCCTTTTCCTCCCCAACTCTCACCCCTGTGCTAATATGAATTTATTTTACGTTTTGTGACTTATTTAATTCTTGAATGATATTTTGAGGTTTTTTTTTTTCCAAGAAAACTTGCAAGCTTCTAAGTAAGTTTACACAAATATATTTTAAAGGTGGAAAGGGATATGACTTCTGAATTCTCTCAGCAGATACATCTAAAATTTAGTTCTAGCACAGCTAGGCCTCCTTCTCCATATACACTATAAATGAAAATATTTTTACTAAAAGTTGTGCTATCATTCTGATCCACATGTAATACAATGTGCCAAGTCCACTTCTTTTAATTGCTAAACTGTTGAAATCATTAGTTGAATTGCTGTAGATTGTTATGGCTGTTCATTAAATTTTTGAGATTGAGATTGTAAGAAACTCACACATAATAAATGAGCAAATAACCTGAAACATCCATAAGTGAATAAAAGATAATAGATTATAAAAAAGATTTCCTCTGGGAAACATTTTATCAATTGAAGCAGGTTTCTGGGACCGAAATTGCCCAAGAAGAGGATGAAAAGTAGATTCCTACATATGGAGCTTCTCTATGGTAGACTTTTTTAAAGGCTGTGAGCAGGGTATAGGATCTGCAACAGAGAAGATTGGTTAATTTGCTGTGACTGTCACAGGCAAGAATAAAGGCTTTCCTGCTTTGGCTTAGGTGGAAGAAACTAAGGAAAATGGATTTCAGGAACAATGGAATGAAACAAAATAGTATCTAATTAGGGCAGATCATTAGCATATGTTCTGTAACCCTAGTGTTCTTGAGTTCTTTTTTCAGAGTCTCATAAAATAAATGGATCTTGTCCAAATAGTGACAGTATAAATAGGTCATCTTAAAATTTTTTGCTAGGGTAATCCCTGAAAGAATTCTGAAAAGTAAATAAATACTTGAAAAAAATATTTAAGTAACAGAACATTTTTCAAGTTTAATTACATAAAATGTAAAATAAAAATGTTGTAAATATTTGTTTAAAAAATATTAAGCAATTATTTCATAAACATTTCACATATCATAACAATTTGAAATATTTTGTTTTTTATTTTAAATATATATTACATATAAATAATATATTTAATATTATTTATATGTAATATATATAATATAATATATTTATATTTCTCAGTAATAAATACAATCTGAATAAAAGAATAGTAAATTATTATTTAAATGACAGAATGGTGAATGTAAATAGTGAGCTGTGGAGCCCTCACCTCAGGTACTAGCTTAGGTAAATTAGTTTAAGAATAAAAGTTTAAGAACACAAAGCTGGAATTCTGTGAAAGCATCCATGCATTCATACCTTTTAGCCTTTATGGTGTGCTCTGGGCTGGGACATGTGGCACTAGTGTTCACTGACCCCTATGACCTTTGGTAAGTTACTGAAACTTCTGGGCCTCTGTTTCTTTACCAATAATATGAAGACTGAGGAAGAGAAAAGTAGCCCTGATTTGGAGAAATGGATTGCTACTTAGAGCCGAGAGCCCTGTTGTTCTCTATGGAAAGCAAATCTTGCAGAACATCAATTATCAGACAAGGTCATGCTGTGACTTGAACAAAGGTAAAGATAAAGAGGAGGAAAAAAGACCAGCTGATAATTTTGTCTAAGAGTAGACAAAAGAAATGGTCTCCATGTAAACCACAGGATACCTGCTGATAGGAGTGTTTTCTGCTTCATTAGTCTCACTGTAGTTTGTCCTCCCTCTAGAACAGATTTACAAATACATTCAGTGAGAGAATTATCTCTGTCTCCAGATAACACCCATTCTAAAGAGAATCCAGGTATTTCCCTTGTGGCCTTTGACTGACAGAGGGTCACTGACGATGAAAATAGTAACACATTTTTCATGAAATGTTTACAAGGATAAAATTAATTAGTATGTGAAAAAGACTCAGAACATGTCCTATTAAAAAAAAAAAAAAAGATGCTGTTGTGCACCAGTGACCCTGTGTCCCTGATTTCTGGGACTTTTGGCTTATATCCTTTACCTGAAGACATTTCATCTCTGCTGAGTTCCTGCTTTCAGTTTGTTCAGGCTACAGATCAATAAATCCATGTCTCCTGGTACCAAGAAGAGCCTGTGATAACTAGTGCCCTGCTAAATAATTGCCCTTTGGTTACTTTTACCTATTTAATAGAGTTTAGTTGAACATTGCCTTATTCATGCCAAGAATGGTTGTATCTTGATAAATTGCACTGTCCCTTATCTTCATGGATTTATCCACCAAATCAATAATGCTGATGATAAAAATACATAGTCTCTCCACTCAGTGCTGCTCTGAGTCTAACCTATGCTTTTGTACAAAGCAGTCATGTTTGCAAAGTTTGACAGTTCTCTGCCCCTGTGAACCCCTGGGCCTGGTGACTCAATGTGACAGTCTTATTATATACTCTTGTAGAGTCCGAGAATTCTCCTATCCATCCTGTCTCAATCCTGTAGTTCATGTTTATTGTCTGTATTCTCATGTTCCATCTTGACTTGAATTGACTAAATGTGACATAATGAGTTCATTTAAAGAACTAAAAGACAGAGGCAATATCTTGATGTAAAAAAAAAAAGTTATGTGAAAAACAGAAACATTCATAAAAAATATTGTTTATATAAATTTAAAAGGTTTAGACCAAATGATTTATTGAATAAACATGCAAAACTTTAAGCGCTCAAAGAAAATGAACATTACAATATGCACTACCATAAAATAACTGGGAAAATCAAATAAGAAAATTAAGATATAATGCTTAGTTGGTTAGTTTTGCATGCTAATAACTCAACATATCTGTGACAGGGCAAACACTTTTTCCCCCCTAAGGATGGTCACATCTTTCCCTGGAATTGACATGTTACTTTAACTGTACAAAATAATTTGGCAGATGTGATTATATTTTTTGAGAGATGGCACAATTGTCCTGAATTGTTTCATGGGTCCAGTGTGTCACAAGGATAAATATAAGAAACATGCAGAAAATTCAGGGTCAGTAAAAGAGTTTTGATCATAGAAGCAAAGGTCAAGATGATGGGGTTATGGGCCAAAGAATGCAGGCAACCACTAGAACCTGGAAAAGCCTCGGAATATATTCTCCTGAAGAGCCTCTAAAAGAAAGATAGCCCCCTCAGCACCCTGGTTTTAGCCCAATGAGACTCCTCATTTTTGTCAATGCAAGATATTTAATTGTTTTGTTTAAGCCAATAAGTTTATAGTAACTTGGTATAGAAGCAATGGAAAATTAGTACAACATGATAACTTTGTTATTGTTGACATTGTTGTATTATTTGCTAGGGCTGGCATAGCCAATTAGCACAAACAGAATAGCTTCAATAACAGAAGTTGATTGTCTCATAATTCTGGAACTTAGAAGTTAAGATCAAGATATCAATATTATAGTTGGATCTTTCTAAGGACTATGAGGGAAAGAACTGTTCCAGACATCTCTTTTGGCTTTTAGATAGCTGTCTTTTCCTTGGGTCTTCCTTTCTTCTTCGCTCTGAATATTTTTCTATGCCCAAATTCCCCTTTTTATGAGGATACCAGTTATTTTGGATAAGTATTTGCCCTAATGACTTCACCTTAACATGATTATCTCTGTAAAGGTGCCTTCAGATAGAGTTACATTATGGGTTACTGTGGGTTAACTGTGGATTAGGCCTTTAACATATAAATTTTGTGAGACACACACAATCCATGATCTTGGTTATGTGAACTTACAATGAAATCATAGAATTTGAAGCTATGTCTGTATTCTCAGTAACAAAAAGTATATAAGAATTATTTTAACCATAACTTTCATTTGACTAGGTGGTTTCTCTAAAGGGCACACTATTGAGAATGTTTCATGTTGTAGAGGGACCATGATTTATTGGTTTAATAAGAAGTGGTACCACTGATTCTACCACTGGGATACAACCTCAGTGATTGGAAATGACAATTTAATAGTTCTAAAACAGCTCCCTTTCATAATTATAGAGAATTTCCTTTAGTGGTATCAGAAGTTCTTTAAGTCATTCATATTTTCTCATGAGATCTGAATAAATATGAGTTTGCTACATCACTTAAAGCATCCTCAATAATTCTGTTGGTAGTAGGCCAAAATATATCTAATGTAGCAAGTGGCAGCTGTATCCTACTTAAAACAAGTAGACCAAATCATATTTACTATTGAATTCTGGTTTACATTACATTTATCCTGGGTCAGCAGGGCTTAAAATTTCAAGGAGTCCTTTGAAAATAAAAATTCCAAAAAGAGAATGTTACTTACAAGAAAGGTATCTTTTTTTAGGTTTATGTGTTTTTTGTGTGTTTGCATAATTTTAAAAAATGGAAGAACTTTTAAGCTTACTCATTGAGTTCCCAGGACCCTATGCTCTAATCTTTTTTTCTGAGACCATTTTTTTTTTTTTTAAACTCTCTTGCTTACTTCAGCTGTAGCCCTAGCTCTGGCATCTTTATTGGCGTTGAGAGCCTTAGTTCCCATCCCATAGGCTGTGGGCTCATACTTACCACCTTATACTGACCTTCCTGGTCCTTGTGAACTTCTCTGAACACTGTACTCCATCTGCAGCCCTCCTGAAACATGGAAAATCAGTTGTTGTGAATTTATTTTTATTTTTGGTCTGCTCTTTGCTTTAATGAATTTCTTAATTTTTTTCAAACTTTTTGAATAAACTTATAGTAAAATCTAGTACTTTGTTTATATTTTGTTTTCTTCAATCAGAATACATTTTTTAAAATGCATTTTTTCTCATATGTAGGATCACATGTATCACTATTTTAATCCTATATTCTTTATTATCTTTTAAAAACAGATGAGTTTTAGAAAAAAACTTGAAATTGCTATTTGCTCTATTTGTTGAAAGAGTTCTTGAACAGTAGAAACATCATAGTGGAGAAATCATATTCTAATAGAGCATCTAGGACTTCTCTTTAAATCAGTGCCATATAGGCATGTTTGATTTGAATGGCCTGTTTTTTTTTAAGAAGTCACGAATAAACTGTTCTTGCTTTATGTTCAAATCTGTTAATATGCAATCCAATATTGAAAATAAAGAGGAAGATCTGCAGTTAAAGTACTGAATTTGAAGTGACTCATAAGACACGTTATCATTGCTCCAGCTATTCTGTCTGCCTGGGATGTCTGGTTTATTTCCACTTTCTTCTGAGATGCAATTCCATCAGTGCAGTCATTATGGAACCCTTCAGACCTTTGTGACTTTTGGAATTCTTCTTTGTGAGTAATGACCACATTAGATCATAATCACTCATTTCTTCTCTTCCTCTAGCTCCTCTCTCTTTTTCCTCCTTTTTGTCAACCTTTCTCACTATACTATGCTATTCTTAAAGTCAAAGATAGTTATTGTTTGAAACAGCACCTAGCATAGCATCAGTGATTTAGTAGGCACTTAAACATGTTGGCTTAGTTAAGAAGAGGAAGTTTAGGATTGTAAGGAAATATTGGGGATGTGTTGGAATATTCTTCATATTAAAATACAGTTTTCTTTTTTCATTATCACTGTTAAATAGTTTTAGAAGGCCATATGAAGAATTCAATAGCAGTACCTAATAAATTCAATAGCAGTACCTTCAGATTCAGAGCACTGGCCTGGTATGGGGGAGAGAAGACAGTTTCAGGAAATTCACGAGTTGGAAATGTAGGCTTAAAATGCCAGAAAAAAACAGTTACAAAATGCAAAGGAACTTAAAAATATGTAAGGAAGTATTGTGCAAGCCATTTACATATATATTGAGAAGCTATAATAGCAGTGATTGGACCCACTGTTACAGAAGGAGCAGAAAATAATGAAAAGTAAAAATAGAGTTATTTCAGTTTTTGTTACAACATAAAATGGAGTGCCACTTCTGCATAGATAAATAAAGTGCTTATGGGCATTCATTCTCTGCCTTCTATTTTGAAAACTGAAAATAGCAAATCATAAAAATATAACTCAAGGCAAGTAGAACATAAACCTGGACTACCCTTCTAGCTTGGAAATATCTGGTACTAATGAATGATTAAGATGAAAAACAGACATCCAATTGCATATGGTTCTATAAATTTCTGGCCTAATTTCCATGATTGATTATATCAGATTTTTCATATCTAATGCATGAAAACATATTTAAAATAGTTTGCTCCTGACAAAGTATGAGTTCAAAATCTTACTTTATTCCCTGAACTGTTTTATGAATGATCAACTAGATGCGTAACAAAAAAATTCCCACATGTTTCATTACATATGCAATACACATAAATATATGCATACATACACCTGCATTTGCTTGCATATCCTGTGTCAATTTACACATTCTAAGAAGTGTGTCTGTTAGGCAATTCATCATTGTATAAGCAGCAAAAAGTAAACAAACACAAAACTAAATGGTAGAGCCTAACACACACCATGTATACTGGGCTCCATTGTACCTAGGACTACGACAGAGAAAACAATAAGAGAACAAATCAAGCACAAGAGAAAATGATGCATTTTGGGCTGTGGTTGTGCCTCAGTGGTAAAGTGCTTGCCTAGCATGTTGTGAGGCCCTGGGTTTGATTCTCAGCACAACAAATAAATAAATAAAACAAAGGTCCATTGACAACTAAAAAAAAATTTTAAAAAAGGAAGAAAAAGAAAATGATGTAATCAAGAGACTTGGTAAACATTAGATGTATGCAGCTGCTGCTGGCATTATATGTCATAGTGTTGATCTTAAATTCTTTTTATCTATAGAAAGAATGCACTCTAAAATAATGATAAAAAGTATAGTAAATACATAAATCAGTAATATAGTCATTTATTATTACATTCAGGTCTTATTACTGAACCTAGTTGTGAATGCTTTATTTTTTATATGAAAGGCATCGTGATTTATTACATCATCATCACCATGAAACCTTTGAGCAATCTATTGCATCTGACAGTACAATGGCTTAATTGTCAATAGGCAATACCAGTTTTTCAGTGTAATTAAAATTTTTTGGAACCACTATTTTGTATGTATTTTGACCAAAATATCATTATGTGATATATGATTTTATATATATACATATATATATTCTATTTTAAAAAACTTTATTTTGAATTATAACCATTTTTTTAAAAAATGCATTTCTTTATATAACTCAAGTATAATATATATTAATTGGGTCAAATTGGGGGAAATTAATATGAAATTTCCTAATTATTTTTGAAAGTATGATTAATATATTTAGGTATAATAATTTGAATGGTAGAAACTAATATTAGGAATCTTAATTCAATAAAGAAGAGAAGAATGGTTGTCTTTGTATAAACATCAGAAGATACATCTTTGTAGGACCTGAGTGTCTCTCTATTGGGTATGAGAGATTACATTTGAATTTTTACTTCTAAATTGTCCAACTACAGAGTAGAGACTGATATTACATTAATGAAGTTTATAACAACTGCTCAGTGAAGACGTTCTGATTATAACCTTTGGTTATGACATGGGTGATGAGAGCTGGATTTGTAAACCCAGCATAGATGTACCCCTTTCTTTGTTTGCTCTCACTGTCCATCTCTTGGTGCCTCTCTTCACTGACTGCTGTTTTGATTCCAGACGGGCTTACCCAGACTTTGCTGCCTGGAGACTCACCACAGGCAACTGACTTCTGCTGTATTTCCCATTAGTTTTTTCTCTTATTTTCTATAACTCAGTAAAGTTCTCCTTATTCAGTATCTTCTTATCTCTATGCAGCATCCTCGAGTTCCTTCCTACAGCACCTCAGTCTCTTCTATTGCTTTTTCAGTTATGTGTGAGGGAGATCCTCTGTTTTCTTCTTTTTTCTTAATTTACCTTGAAATCTTTCTATTTATCTCTTTCTTGTTCCACATGCAGGAGAATAGAAATAGATCAGATCACGAGAAGGATGCTCAGTAAGCCAGAGTGGCCTTTATCTTCAATAATAAGAATGCCATAAATTTTAATGCAAAATTAGATGTAGCCAAAATAAAGTATCATTAACTTCCAAAACATTCTTCACTGCTTAGGGTTTGCTTTAGAATTGTCACTCCTGCCTACTCATTTTCTTCAAATTACTATATTGTTTTCTCAAGTACTCAAGTGATCAAGAGAGAATATGAACTTTTATAGTTTGGATAATGAGCACATTATCATATTAGCTACATTGTGATAAATATTAATATTTAGTTTAAAATAAAGTCTGATGAAGTCATTGATAACCTAAGCACCTTTTATACTATTTTCCCATTGGAAAATGGGTGATAAGCTTTAGATGTATGCTTTCAAAATACTCTTGGAAGCCAGCCTGCTTTCCTCCTGGAGAATTCTGTATTATCTTCAATTTAAAATAACAAACCAAATGTCTCATGATATTTAATATAGTGCTAAAAACTGCATTTCGGCTCTTGATTTGTGTATGTCCTATATATTGAGCATTTCACTGGATCATATGTCAAATAAGCCCACTCTTTCCAGCTTATCAATTTAATAAGTGAGGATTTATTCATAATAAAAATGTTTTAACTGAGAAACTTAAGGAATTGGGTGCCGTGGTCTGTCAGATCATCTGTTCCCAGTATAGTTGAGAAAATTACTTTGAAGTTCTTCCCTTGATAACATCTGATTTTTTGTCTTTTGTTGTTTGTGAATTTTTCCTTTTATTGGCCTCTTCCTCTCACAGCATATAATGTTCTTTTGAAATCACGAAGCCTTGGAATTGACTTGATTTTTCAGCTCTAAGTCAGGGGCCTCTGTACTATCTTTCAGTTTTCTAAACCAGTAAATAGAATAATCCAAACTTTGAAGACGTTATCTTTGGCTCATCTCCACATTCTGCAACATGATGTGCTTTCTGAAGTATTTTCAGTTTTCGGATGATTGATTGTCTTCTTTGTCAGGTTTTCTCATAAAAAAGACATACTTATAAAATTGATAGAGACCAGTGGTTTAAATCTGGGGCTCCAAGCTAAATTGCCTGGGTTCTAAGATAAGCTGTACGACTTTCTAGCTATGTAATGTTGGCAAAATGTAGTTATTCATGTGTGTTTTAGTTTTCTCATTAGTAAAAGTGGAATGAGACTAGAGAACTGTAGTGAGGATTTAATTACAATACAAATAAAATGCTTAGATAAATGCCTTTCCCATTGAACTTCCTCAATAAATGTTAGCTTTCATCATTACCTCTCCTTGGAAATCAGTATCTAAATGGCATGGAAAGAAATATTTGTTGAATAGATAAATCGAGTGATGTATTACCTCAACATACCTTCAGCACCTGGTGCTTTCCTAGAGATTTCTATTTGAGTTAGTTAAAGAAACTAGACATTTAAAAACTGTTTTGAAGCTTGTAAAATTCAAGTTGATTTATTCTGACATTTTATGTGGGACAAATCAATTAGACAATATCCCTTATTTATGTTTATAATAGTGAAAGAGTATTTTCCACAAAAAATTATTCTAGACATAAACATGAAAAAAAAAATGAGTAGGCTTTTGAATTGAATTTCAACAATTTATAAACTATCCTATGATTATTAAACATACTACTGTTTAACAGTATTTGTCCCTGTTTAAAGGAAATAAAATGAGCAGTACATTGAACTTCCAAAGACTGTAGTAGTATATTCGTGGATCTATCTACATGTACACACACACACACACACACAAAAAAAAAAAAAACTAAAAGAATTTTTGACAAATTAAATCTAGTCTTCTTAATCACTGGAGGTTGAAACAAATGCTCCCTGTGTTCATTTGTTTCTTCACTAAATTATTCAAATCAAATCAAATGATCCTGTGGTTACTAACTAGAGTAAATATGATCCTATAGGACCTTCTCACTGTATAGATCCTTTATTGCAGACAATAGGGTTTCATATTCCTTAGCCTGAATTCTTGCACAATGAAATAGTAATTACTTTTTATTTCATACTTTCCTTTTAATAATAGTGGAGAATACTATACTCCAAATTGATGATTTATTACAATTTTCCAAAAGTGTTTTAACAGGTAGATGAAGTTTGACTCAAGATAATTATACAGAATTGCATAGCTCTTGGAGTAAGAAGTCCCTGCTTTCAAATCTTATCTCATAATTAGAAATTGCCAATGGCAGTTGGTGAAAGAAAAGCATTGTAAAAACTCAAATCAGTTTTTACAAAGGTATTACACTCCTGAAATCCCCACCTAATTTGGAATCTTG